GGCAAAGTCCAAACAAAAGCTACTCGAAGTACGAATACGTTTAGCCATAAAATATGCTTAGGTTTAGACGGGTTATTGTGAAAAAATGAATTATAATTAGCTAGCCCATCGATTACACAATTGCAAATTTATTATGCCATTAGTCGTCGTTTACGACATGCTAGACAAATAACACACTTGGCATTTTATTTTTCGTTGAAAGTCCCACATAAACACCTATAAATCCCATACCAAAATAGGATTTACAGAATTTATAAATTCTTCAAAGTCCACAGCTTTTACTGGTTACAACCATCAGGTAGATTGCGCTCGCTTGTTACACTTATTCCGTTAAAAAAATATTTGCTATTATTAACCTCTAACAATCCAATGCTGGACGTGGGTGTATACGGCCACCATCGGGACATGGGCCTCTCCCACTGTACAGAGGAACTCTAATGTTATTTAAATGAACACCCATTAATTATTTGTTTACAGAACAATACTTTACCACCTCCAGAGAAGAAAATACAAATCAAAATAAAATGTGCCATAGAAAAATTAAAAAACGACCTTATAGCGGAAGAAATTTAATTCATTTTACATTAAATTAGTTTAGCTTGCTTTAATGATTACAACAACTTACATTAATATAAAATTTAAAAATATCAAAAACAAACCTTACATGCTAAAAATTCTTTGCATTTGTAACGATTCAAATAAATGACATCAGTAAAATGGAATGCTCGTTTTATTTAACGGGACGTTCACATAATTAAGAAATATATCATTCTGTGTCAAAATTCATAAGACAAACATATCGTATTCACATAATATTGGCATTCACATAGAGAGAACCATAACAACACCTAATAAACATTTCCATATACCATTTCAAACATTTGCCCAAATACTCGAATACTACTCAATTTTAAGACGCCGTTATAACTCGTGGTGTCACAGTTACTTAAAGTACGGAATAAATAATAGGAGACGACAGCACAAGACTTAACAGCGTCTTAAAATTGAGTAGTGTTCGAGTATTTAGGCATCAAAATATTAATTTCAATAGCTTTTATGTATTCTAAAATGTCTGTAAACATTATTAGCATCACAATACACCAAAAGCCCGGGGTTCCCAAAGTGTGGGAGCGCCGTAGAGTAAGATAGGGGCACCGCTCCAGAAATTCTTTTGCGACAATAGTTTTAAAAATCGCTTGTTTTGCTTTGGTGCGGTTAAATAACTGTTAAAAATGAATTACCTTAAGTTCAAAACTTTCAAGAATTTTCGTTCTTTGCAACATTTTATTTATTCGAAGCTGGGATTTCAGCTGTAACTATAATAAGCTAAGCTCAAAATTAAATGTGAAGCCAGAAATGAATTTTGATAAAACTTGTAAAGATCTGCAAGTCTACACGATTAAAACATAGTGTGTTATCATTCACGTGGCATTTCACACATATTTTATTAAGGGCGCCGCGCCGTGACAAAATACTATATTATTGTTACGAGCTTCGGGTTCGAGACAAATAAAAACTGCCGATTGAATTACCAAAATTGACACTTTAATTACACAACACTAATTACAATCTAAAATCACACTAATAATAAAACACAGTTCGCCGTTATTTCGCTTCGAAGTATTCTCTTGTATCGCCAATTCAATACTGCCCCGGTCGTGGTCTATACCGGTCTTATATAGGGCCTCAGATAGTTTCCAGAACCTTCTACTGTAGCGACATCTAGAATGTTCGAGTACATATCGGTCCCGAAATTTCTGGAAGGATCTCGACTCTCCTAGTTCTGCTACTCGACACTAGAGGGCGCTAGTGTGACTAGTGTTGCCATGTACAAGACATTAATAGTGGCGCGTAACACTGCCCCCTCCTAAGACATGCTCGTCCCGAGCATTATTGGCCCCATAATAACGCGCCAGTCGATCCACATGGACAATCTTAGGAGTACCTCTGGCACCTTTCTGTATCCGGTAGGTTACATCATTGATCCTTGTCACAATCCGGTACGGTCCGTCCCATTTAGCTTGAAGCTTAGGAGATTTCCCTTTGCTGCGAACTGGATTGTGTAACCACACTAGTGAACCTTCATCAAAGCCCTTGTTGTTCATTTTGCGGTCATACCGTGTTTTCATCTTCTCAGACGTTTGCTGGCCCGTCTGTCTGACGTGCTCATAAATGTCATTCATTTTGTTCCGCAAGTCATTTGCATAATCGGTTATACTGCGTGGGGCATCAGGTGGTATTCCGGTGATCAGGTCTGCAGGCAGCCGCAATTCTCTCCCAAAGTTTGCGAAAGCTGGTGTCACTGATGTACTTTCGTGAACAGCGCTTCGATATGACAACAAAAACGGTTGTATGTGCCTGTCCCAGTCTCGTTGCCGTTTTTCCACAACTTTTGCTAGGTACCTCTCCAATGTCTGATTAAATCTTTCTACCATTCCATCAGATTGTGGGTGGTAAGAAGTTGTTCGTGTTTTCTGAGTACCCATAACTCGGCAAGTTTCCTGGAATATTTGAGACTCAAAATTCCTTCCTTGATCGCTGTGAATCTCTAAAGGTACTCCAAAACGACAGAAGACTTCATGAACTAGTTTATCTGCAACTGTTGAAGCTTCTTGATTTGGAATGGCGAAGACTTCTGGCCACTTAGTGAAGTAATCCATCACTACCATGAAATACTTGTTACCACTTTCAGTTTCTGGAAACGGCCCCGCAACGTCAATGGCTATCCTCTCCCATGGTGCACCAACATTGTACAATTTCAATGCGCCTCTACTACGAATTTGAGGTCCCTTTACAGCCGCACAACTTGTACATTTGCGGCACCAGTCCTCGACATCGTCACGACAGTGGACCCAGTAAAACCGTTCTCGGATCTTCAGGAGAGTTCGTTTAACTCCCAGGTGGCCTCCTGAACAACCACTATGGTACAGCAGTAGAATATCCGGCACTTTAGCCTTAGGGACAACCATTTGCAAATGACACCTGTCTCCCCGACCATTTTCCCATTTACGGCACAGGACTCCATCCTGAATCAGCAAGCTGTCCCATTGGGCCCAATAGCTTTTCGTGGTCGAACTCATTGCTGAGACGTCGCTCCACTTGGGCTTAGGAGCACTGGCCTTCATCCATTCCAGAATCGGCTTAATGTCCGAATCTTCCTGCTGTGCATGTTGTAGGCTGTCCTTCCACTCATTGCTGAGCTGGTCTGTCCTGAGCATTCTCACAGATACCACTTCCTTACCCTCTTGCCTAGTACAATGCTTGCAATCTTCAGGGCAAGGTCTTCTTGACAATGCATCTGCATTGCCATGAGATTTCCCGCTGCGATGGGCGTTGCTGTTAGCCGCACTACCTTCTCGAAATCGATCACCTTCCCTTGCTACAGTTCGCTTAGGGCAGCTGGATCGAAGATGGCCCCTTTGCCCACAGCCGTAGCACCTAGGGCGGTAGCCGTTATTGCGGTCCCGAACTGTAACTGCTGCAACCTCCCTGACGCGGTAGGAACGATGATCCTGCCGCACGGCTTCCACCTCCAGTGCATGGGTCAAGGCGTCCTTAAGCGTCTCGTGGTGCCCGAGCCTCACAGCAGCTCTGACTTCAAGGTCGCGGATGCCGTCGATGAATGTCTGCACCAGGTTCCCTACAATGAGCGCAGGTACAGACTGGTACGCTTTTCGAACCAGCTTCTCCACCTCAAGGGCCCACTGCTGCAGGTTTTCGTTACTGCGTTGCACGCGATCTTTGAGCTGCGCACGAAAGACGTGTTCCAGGTGAGCATCGCCATATCTCGCCTCCAATGCCTCAAGGAGCTGCTCGTAAGTCACTTCCTTACCGAGAGCTTCCAGAACAGTTAAGGCCTGGTCGCGTAGGCCTAGGGTGAGAGCAGTCATGGCCTGACTTTTATTCCAGCCGTTCGCTTTCATGACAGCCTCGAACTGGATTTTGTAGGCCGACCAGGAAGAACTCCCATCGAACGGCGGCACTTTGAATCCACGTAGCGAAGGTGTTGTAGCTACCACGGGAACTGTAATTCCATCCCCAAGTTTGAGGTTGTCCAGCGTTTTCTTCACATCAGCCATCACGTTGTCAACCCGATTATTCACTTGGTCGATTCGGGTTTCAGCTTCCGACAGGCGGTTGTCATGTTGAGCAACCCTATCCTTCACCTCCCTTATCTCTTTCCCGAAGGTAGCGTGAAGGTCCTTCCTGAGGAGCATCTGTTCTTCCATACCGCGCTGCAGCTGCTCTTCCAACCGACGGGTCTGTTCCTCTTCGGCGGGCCTGTTCCTCCTGTCGGCGAGCCTGTTCCTCCTGTCGGCGAGCCTGATCCTGCAGCATCATCATCAGAGCACCTAAGTCAGGTGCTGCAGATGCAGGAGCTGCTGACGGGCCGGCCTCCGTGGTTAGCAGCTGCCCCTCAGACGTTTGCGGCGTTGCATTACCAATTCGTCTCTGGTCCGTCTCCTGTTGGCGTTGACTTCGGGTACGGATACCCTCCGTGTCGTCTTTAGGTAAAATCGGCATATTTGATCCCACTTCTGACACCAATTGTTACGAGCTTCGGGTTCGAGACAAATAAAAACTGCCGATTGAATTACCAAAATTGACACTTTAATTACACAACACTAATTACAATCTAAAATCACACTAATAATAAAACACAGTTCGCCGTTATTTCGCTTCGAAGTATTCTCTTGTATCGCCAATTCAATACTGCCCCGGTCGTGGTCTATACCGGTCTTATATAGGGCCTCAGATAGTTTCCAGAACCTTCTACTGTAGCGACATCTAGAATGTTCGAGTACATATCGGTCCCGAAATTTCTGGAAGGATCTCGACTCTCCTAGTTCTGCTACTCGACACTAGAGGGCGCTAGTGTGACTAGTGTTGCCATGTACAAGACATTAATAGTGGCGCGCAATACTTTCATTTACTCGACACTAGGGGGCGCTAGTGTAACTAGTGTTGCCATGTACAAGACATTAATAGTGGCGCGTAACATTATATAGGTCCGAATGCGCAAACTGGAAAACTTTGGGAACCCCTGCATTAAGCAATAGCTCAAAACTATTCATATACATCTATTATAGATATGTTATTTTAATACTTATGTTTAAGTTGTAACTGCTACGTTATCAGTTTCGGATTTTTTTTTGCTAATATATTAAATGTATTTTCGGTGAACACTTTCAATGAGACAAATGTTATTTAGATGGGCAGCAGCGTTTTTCTAATAACAACTAAAAAAAACTGCAGTTGCCATCACGCCTGCCGACTGTAGCAACTGTGGCAAATACTCCCCTATGAGGTAATCTAAGGGGAGGCCTATGATCAGCAGTAAATTTCTAATCACGTTTAATTTTAACTTTTTGAACTTTAAAGCGATAACATACGTAAAAAGTTAAAACCAAGCGCGATAAAATCCGTAAAAATACGTTATATTCAATGTGTAGTATTCTCGTAAATATAAGAAAATCTGAGACATGTTTATTTTATGCATACGAAATATATTTTACTGTTATCAACCTTAAAGCGGAACCTGGAAGCGGCGTTAGAGAAACCATCACATTTAGTCCTGTTGGTGCCGTAAAAAACAACTATAAAAAAGATATATTTCGTATGCATAAAATAAACATGTCCCAGCATCTTTATTTTATGCATACAAAATATATTTTACTGTTACCAACCTTACGGTTTTAAGCCGTATGGAAGCGGCGTTAGAGAAACAATCACATTTAGTCCTGTGGGTGCCGCAAAAGACAATTATAGGAAAGGTCAGAAAAACTTTATGACTTTCGATCTATGGCGACTTATGTCGCCATAGATCGAAAGTCATAAACATCTCGTTTAAAGCGTAAATGAGCCAGATTAGTGACGGGTAGCACTCCAATGGTGCTCACGTCTAGCTCTGCGAAGTGAATACGCCTAGCAAACGAAATGACGAAGGCAAACCCTCCCTACAATAGGGAAGGCACGTGCAGTAGTAGTCATCTACGGGCTGATGAAGATAAAGATTGCGGTTTCTACAGCTCCATCAATCGATTCCTTCCATTACAGTATAAGTCCACTACTGAACGTATGTTCCTTCCATAGCTTGCCTGATAGGAGGGATTTTGCCATAGTTGCTACCATTGGCAGACGGGTTGGAAACCCATAGTTTTTATTATTTCGAGTTGTTATCAAGAATATATTGCTGCCCATCTCCTGTTTTAGATTCCCGCTGTCGCCTCTTACGACGCCCAAGGGTCGATATGTGGTAGTGGATATTCTTACACCGCCACTACACGGTACAGTTCCACCCGTACGATATGAAACGCATTCATGACCAACAGTAAGTTCTAACTAATAACTTCAATAATTTACTAAAACAACTTTCCGGTTACTTATATTACATAAATTGGCCACCAGAATTTCTCACATTTGTTTGCATATTTATTATTTAAGAATAACGTATCTGTGTAAGTCTAATAATGTAACCATTAGCTGGAGGCCGAACTGTTGGATGTGTATTTAAAAAAAAAATGTGACATATGAAATTAGTCTTTCTGAAGGTAAATGGTTACTCTTTACCTCTGAGGACTAAGACGGAATGCCTCACAACCTGCGATAATACTGGTCCTCTATTCGGGGGGTTGTACCTACTTAGACGGACTTCAAGGCAGAAAAGGAGGTCCTACCATCTAGAAAACTTGTGTTTCACAAAAAGCTTTACTGACTAAAGTTCGAAAATATACTAACGTATAGTCATTTTCAAATTTTCAAATTGTTTATTTTAACTTACTAAGAAGACAAAGTTGGTTACAAATGTCATGTAAACTGAATACTTTCTTCTAATCATGGACAAATATTAGGCCTTGAAAATGCCTGAAGCAATTTAAGTATGAATATAGACATGTACACATAATATAGTACTATACTTTATTCAAAATTTGCTTATCAAGTAATAATAATTATATATACTGATATTTTTCTTCTAACTTCCGGAGAAAAATTCATACACATATATATATTTCATTTACTTTGTGATACAACATATAAAGGAATGAGAACAGAGCAACACGGACCACCGGCGCGGCGGACCGGAGGGGAGTAGCCATAGAGTATTATTGTAATTTTGAAGTTTAAAATGAAGTAAAAAGCAATAATTTGATAAAAAAAATTACTTAATTATTAAAGGTAACGCCATCTTTTAGTAAATTTGACGTGACAGATATCTTTTGCAACAGAAAACTGAACAAATCGCCATTTTTTTAGGACGTCGATTCAGCCGCGCAACTACTCGTAGATTTAGTCAGGTGAGCAGTGCGGCTGCAACGTATACTGTCGTACACATAGGACCGCGTGGACTTACAGTTCGATAGAGGGTAATGCGTGCGTATGGCCACTTATCCGCCGGTGGCCCATGCCGCTCTATGAGTGAGAATGGTGAATAGTTTTATTTTTATTTTATTACATGTGTATAGGCCAAAAGGTTTTCATAGTATATATACAAAGGCTAAATGCAGTATTGCAGAGGCAGCCTACATGGCCTTCATCTGCGCCATGAGGTCCTCGAGCGAGAGCTCGGAGGCGGCCACGGCGCCGCCCGTGCTGGACTCCGTGCTGCTGTCCAGCGCCACGCTGTACGCCACCTGCACCAACCGCACACATTCAGTATTTTTAAGCACACAGCTGGGCATACGCTAAGTACCACATGGTTGTCACCTCGCTAAGGTTAACATAGAGCCAACAATCAGTAGATTTTCTGTACTTTTTTTTTAATTTCTGGCTAACAGTCGGGTCACCATGATTTCACAAAAAAAAAAGAAATAAGTTTCCTATTCGTAGGTGAAATGGGAAATCCACAAGTCCTCCAGATATTTAAATACTTAACCATGCAAGTACATCTTCTCGAAGTTTTCTTCACCTTTGAGTACTTGGTAAATCAGCACTTACAATCGCAATTAACAATTTTTGTGGTACCGGTAGAAGCCAAACTCTGGTTGCCTGTGTATAAATTATCTTATAATTAATCATCATCAACATCATAATTACATATTGAATAAAACTACTTTTACGGATTCTATCGCGTTTAAGTAATTTATTTTTATTAAATTCCCGACGTTTCCCGATGTCAGTTATCGTCAATCAGACGTCCATCACCTCAGTCCCCCGTGACCATGGGTCGGGAATAAAAGTCGGGAATTTAATAAAAATAAGTTAATTAAACGCGATAGAATCCGTAATATAAGAAATCCGTTCGCGTAAATATAAGAAATCATTATCATCATTACATGGTGAATATAGGCTTCCGTGGAATGAAACAACATATTGCAAACATTCACTTTCTACCTACAGAGTTATTATTTAATCTGTGCTTGCATTATTGATTTTTATGATATGCTCTATTTACTAGGCTTTGATTACTTTTAAATATGTTTTATTTCACAATGGTACATTAAAATGACTGTACCGACTACAAATTTCACACCGATATTCACGATTTTATTTATAAGTTTAATCATAATGGTTGGAAAAAGGTGATGTGTGGTTTATACATCTAATTACCTGAACACCTTCGGCTAGCCTTAAATTGGACGAGTCCTCCTCTTCAGGTGCATTTTCATCGATGAGGCAAATTCCTGGAATTAATAAAATAGAATAAAATCATTTTTATTTAATTTATTTTTAAAGTTATTTATATTAAAGGTATTTATTTCAATACAAGAATACTTTTTTATATAAGAGGGAACAAACGAGCTTGCGGCTCACCTGATGATAAGTATACTCGTACTTATTGAAAGTAATTTAAGCTTTACCACTGGTTCGAAAAATAAATCTCTGTCATGGAAGAACCAGCAAAAAGCCCAGTGGGACTTTAAAAAAAATACCGCGTAATATTTTATACAATTAAGTATGAAAATGTGTGTGTTGTGTAAGTGCGTGCTGTCTAAGTGCATGCTGTGCAAGTGTGTGCAATGTAAGTGCGTGCAGTGTAAGTGCGTACGGTGTAAGTGCGTTCTGTGTAAGTGCATGCATTGTAAGTGCGAACAGTGTGCGAGGGGCGGCTTTCTATTTTTATTTTTCAATATAATCTCTCTCAAGCGAAATACATTTCTCACATGTCGCATACAATGCCTTTAACCCACCCAAAAAACATTCTGTATCTTTCTCTTCAAAATGATGATCAACCGCAGCTTTCATTTCGTTGTCATCTGCAAACCTCCGGCCCCGTAAGTCCTTTTTCAAATTAGAAAACAGGAAAAAAATCACTAGGTGCTAGGTGTGGGCTATACGGAGGGTGGTCAATCTCTGAGAACCCCGTGTCTTTCAGGGCTTGCCTCGCAACATGTGCGGTGTGAACGGGCGCATTATCTTGCAGAAAGAGCACTCCGCGCGTCAGTTTCCCACGTCGTTTCTGTACAATAACCTTGCGAACCTGAGTCAATAAATTGGCGTACTATTGGCCATTCATCACAGTTCCCCTGGGTAGGTAGCCGATAAGCAAAAGTTCCTCGCTATCGCAGAAAACAGTCGCCATTAGCTTGGACGCAGACTTTTCCAGCTTAAATTTCTTCAGCGGCCTTTCTCTTTTTTATCTATGATTCTTGTTTGGACTCCGAATCATATTGGCGAATTCATTTTTCATCTACTGTGACTATCCGTTGCCAAATATCTTCCTTGTAATCGCCGACTAACTCCAAAAAATCTTTGCAACTTGCGAGTCGACGTTGCTTGTTGAGCGGTGTGAGCATTTTCGATGCCCAGCGCGCGCTGATTTTTCTCATATTCAAATGTTCATGTAAAATTTCTCCAACTCGTTATTTGCTAATCTGAAGTTCTTCAGCAATCTGCCACAATTTAATTCTTCGGTCGGCCAGAACGATTTTTCGGACGTTTTCTTCGGTCAGTACCGTGACAGGGCGGCCCGGGCGAGGGTCGTCTTCACAGCTCTCTCGTCGTTGTTGAAATATGCGGCCCCATTTTTTCACCATCGTATATGAAAGCGCAGAATCCTGAA